TTCCTTCCTTCCTTCCTTCCTTCCTTCCTTCCTTCCTTCCTTCCTTCCTTCCTAGTACTTTTCTTTAAAACAAAATCTTTCAGTGCAGAATTTGAAATTTTTCAGTTTTCCAAACATATCTTCATTTCATCTTCTTTCCTGATTTAGCTCTCTATAATAGCCTAGAATTGCTTCCTTTTTGTAGTATACTGACAGTGTTATTCCAATGTACATGGATTCCAATTTTGTAGAGATCTCTCTCCAGTTATTTAACTCTTCTTTAATTTGTTAGCATTTGTTTGTATTGAATTGTTCTTCAAAGAAATATTAAAGTCTTAACTTCTAGTATCTCAGATTGTGACTCTCTATAAATCGAAACCAGGTTAAAAATGAGGTTCTTATGCCCTAATCCAGTGTAACTGGTGTCATAGGAAGAGGATGTGTGGAACAGAGATAGACTTGCATGGAGGGAAGGGCACATTAATACCAACAGGGACAAGACAACCACCAGCTGCAGTGATGCGTCTGCAGGTGAAGCAGCAGCAACAAGTGCTGGAAGACACCAGGAGCTTGGAGAGATAAGGAGTCCATCTGGGTGCCACCAGAAAGAGCGTGGCCCTGCAGACACCTTGGTTTTGGACTTGTGTTTCCTAGAACTATAAGATAACAAATTTCTGTGGTTCAGGGTACCCACGTTTTGATACTGTTGCATCATCCTGGGAACAAATGCAGCAGTGTTTTTTGGCCTGGGAAGGCCATGCTTTCTACTTTTTTGTTGGATGTATTTGTGAATATTTTGTGATTTGGATATTCTTATAAAGGATACCAGTTTTGAAATTAATTTTCCAGTTGTTCAGTGATATTCTAAGAGGTACAGCTCACTTTTACATTGACTATATATCCTGCAGCCTTGCTAAATTCATGTATTAGTCACCATGAGATTTTGTAGCTTCTTTAGGAATTTATCTTTACATAATCATATTACCTCTTGGCTTGAAATGTGTACACCACTCATTTCCTTTCCTTTCCTTGTTCATGTTCTATCTAGAACATGCAGTACAGTGTTGAACGGACGGCTCATACCTGTACTAAACCTCCTTTACCCATTTACTGTGTCATGGGGAAAGCATTCAATGTTTCATAATTGTGATGTTAACCATAGAATTTTTTAGACACCCTTTATTGGTTTGAGGAAGCTCCTTTGTATTCTGCTATGATATTTTCATGAATGTGAGTTAACTTACTAAAAATAGTTTCTCTACATCTATTGAAGTGCTAATTTTCAATTAGTATTTACTAAATGAAATAATTTCAATGTACATAAACATTAAAAATTGTAGGATACAAATGATAAAGCCAACAAGTATGGGAAATTTTAGTGGCCTAACTTAAGAACTTTCATAGAACTGAAATACAAATGCACTAAATACCATCATCATGGCTAGCAGAACAGTGCTAGAAACATAGCAGTTCTTCCTGTATTAATGTTCTGTTTGAGTACAATTCAAGTAAAAAATCAAAATAGGATATTTTTGTGCAGCCTGAGAACCTGAATCCAAAATTTATATTGAAAAGGGAAAAGGAGAGGTCAAGGATGTAAATAGAGTAATAGTGAGGATAGATTTGTTTTTCAGTAAATAATGATGTAGTATCAAAGCCAGTGAGTTCTTGGTTCGTGTTTAGACAGCCCATGCAAAGAGGAAAGGAGAGAACCAGAAAGATCTCTGCAGGCAGGATGCACTTACTGATAGCAAAGATACTGCGACAGATTATTTGTGAATAATCTGGTGGAGAAAGAAAGAAAAAAAGAGGGGCTGGTGAGATGGCTCAGTGGTCTAAAAAAAACACACCTACTTAGAATAAGCTTAGCAAAGCACAGGGACCGCGGTTCAATCCCCAGCCCCACATGCCAGCCAGCCCCGCCCCCTGGTGGGCTGAGTGGACACACACACACACACACACACACACACACACACACATAAATAAAATAAAATTTTTTTAAAAAAGGAAAAGGAAAGGAAGAAACCTGAAATGAGTTTCCTATATGGAAAAAATAAAATTATATTCATATTTTACACAACATACAAGCTCAATTCAAGATGTAGAGGATGTAATTACAGAAAGCAAACCTTTCAGAAAAACACAGGAGACAACTTCTTATTTGGCAGGGTACTTAAGACACTGAAAATACTGTTTTAGTTTTAAATACTGAATTCAATAGATTAATATAGTTGGGAAGTCTCAGAATTTGGATTCATGAAAATGTCAAAAAAAGGATCAAATACAGACTACAAAACTACAATACATTTATATTTTATAGGGTTACTATCATAACAGATCTAGAGGTGGAGGAAGTGAAGAGGGTAGGAAGGGGAAGGGGCATGAAAAGAATCAAAATATATTGAGAACATATTTGTACTCATGGAGAATGGAGATGAACACTATGCTTCAAACTTGTGTTAATAAAAACATTTTTAAAATTGCACTCTAAAATCTGTAGGATTTGAGAGGAAGCAATTTGTGTAAATCATGTATGCTACCCTAACACACACACACACACGCGCGCGCGCACACGCGCACACACATGTATTCAGGACAGCTCACAAAGATCAATGGTGTGAACTTTGTCTTTTTCTCGTGTTATATTTGATCTGATGTTTGACTAATGTGGAAAGCATGTAATTTGAATATTGTTTTATCTACCTGACACAGTAATCACTGCCGTATTTCTAACTGAGTAGCAGTCCTTTTCTGGAGTTTTTACTCCATACTCCCACCTGTGGATTCCAAGACCAATTAGAATGTATGTTCTAATTTTGTACATCTTTTTGGCCATTCTTTTGAAGTTGTCAGGTTTTTCTAACTCCAAAATTAATTGAGGCTGTTAGAATCCCTAAGTTATTTGTGACTAGAGCTCTGTGACATCCGGATGCATAAGGAAAGCAGTAGTGGGGTTCTTTTGTTGGAACTGCAGGATTAAAGATGCAAGAGAGGGCCGGACAAATAGCTCAGCAGATTAAAGCATCTGCAAGCAGGCGAAGGGGCTGGGGTTCAATACCTGTGCCTGCTGTGCTAGCCCTGCCCTCGGGACCTGTTGAGACAGCAATTGAGACTGGGTGTGGTGGCGTACGCCTGTAATCCTGGCTCTTGGGAAGCTGTAAACAGGTGGATCACTATGAGTCCAATCTAATAGTGAGACCCTGAACACCCTGTAGACCCTTCCCTAGAATACAAAAAATAATAATAAAATAAAAATAAAAATAATAAAATGCAAGAGTATCTTCTTCCTAATCAGTTAAAAAAGAAAATGAGCCTGTAGTTCCTGTCAAGAGACTTTTGCCATCCTAAAAGGACAAGGATTAAAGCAAACAAATAAGAGGAAAAATGTTATAGAGTTATTTCTAAGGGTAGGTTGTAAATGTTGGAGGGCATTTTTAGAATACCTGATTATCTTAGCTTTAAACATGTTATACAATATAAGCTCTCCATGTTCCTTTAAGCCATGAATTATTTATTTTCTGATGAGACTTGGTTCCATCTTTTAAATAAATAATGTGTAGTAGAAGAAAGATAAAGCAAGTCATTTTTTGGAATTAGCATTCTTAAATGTTTTCTGGTACCAAGGAAGAAAAAAAGTTGTCTAATAAAAGACTACTGTGTAGAGTATATTAAATCCTAAGGCACATATGGAAGAAGACATAAAGCCCCCACAAAGTAATAATGTCTTGGGTGCCATACTTGATGTACCTCAGAATGAAATGTGTAAGCATAATTTGTTTACATTATCAATGTATTGATTTTATTTCTGTCATTTTAGGGTTAACATTCAAAATGATGTTATTGATTTCTTTTAAGGGAAAATATACACATGTTCTTGTAAGAACTATTAGTGATCTTAGTTTATGTTCTTAGAAAATAGCACAATTCACAATTTAATGAATTAATTTATGCATGATTTATTATTTCTGAAAGGAGTTGAGAAATAGCTAACATAAAAAGTTAAAAAAGACAGATTAAGAACTCTTAAATGAGTTTATTTTTCTTAGTTCTACTTATCCTCCATAGGTATGATAAAAAAGTAATTGGATATATTGAATTTATCATAAATATTAGGAAAACACACAGTAGTGCTTTTGAAAGTAAGGCATTGTGTTTCGAAATTTGCCTAGCTTTGAGTGCCTTTGTCACAAAATGTCTAGTACTAACTTATGTATTATTCAATAGATTTTATGAATCACCATCACACAGTTTACATAGTTACTTCTTATTTTTCTAGTTTTAAGCCACTTGGACTTTGTTTTACACATGTTTAGAATAACTCTTGTGTTTATCGTTAACTTCTTAATCGCCCATAACCTCCCATCATGTAATGTGTGTGAACATGAGTGTTGGTGAGCTCCTAGTTATGACTTTCTCTATATTTTTATGCTTAAGTGAAGCTTTCATTTCTCTTTCAGGTGATTGATCATTTTTTCCTTCTTCAATCAGTAGTCACAATTATTGCTATTATTTCCTTTACAGGGTCGAAAAGAATAAGTGACAGTGAAATCTCCGACTATGATTGTGATGATGGGATTGGCGTAGCATCAGGTAAGGGTTTTAGGGTTAGGGTACTGAAAAGGAAAGGAGAGTTCTTGCGCCCATGGGGAGGTAGCCAAGAGATGGAGGTGGATGGGTGGGGTAGGAGGGCAAGGGCACGGACAGAATTTGGCAACTTGTGAAGTTTAAAGTCCTGGACAAGAGAATTAGATTGGCTGTTCTTGAAAGCTGTCAGATCGGTATGTTATTTACAGGCTTTCTATTTTAAAGCAACTAAATATGGGCTTTCTAATAGACTGGAGGATTTACTGAACAATTGAAAATTCTTTGATGAGCTGCTATTGTTATGAAAAAAGAGGCAATTTTTTTATTGTATCAGCATACTTGAAAATGTCAAGTTTTTGAGTGAGATATTTAAAAACTTCCACTGTTTTAATATTAAGCATCATTTTAAGCTATTTTTTGAAATGATAATAGTGTCACTCAGTACTAGTGTATGGTAGTGTGGCAGTGCAACAGCGCAACTACTGCCTCATTTTCTGCTTAGAACTTTACTCAGTGATTTGATAGTTAGGTAAGTAGATGTGCTCTCTATTACTTCTGACAAATATGTGGATATATAATATCTTTAACACTTCTAATAATTCTGTGCTTGTTGAAGTTTAAATAATCTAACAAATTTTATAATTAGGACTAATTTTATTCTGTATGAAATATGATCTATCACAGGTGGGATATACTGCACTTGAATTAATAACTATGAAGTGTTTATGTGATAAGTTTGTTAGACTATGGATCAGTTAGTATGGCTGTACCAGTGTACTACTTTCATAATACTGTCTTGCCTGTTTTAAAACTAAGGTGAATAACACATTATTTTACTAAAAATGTAGAAGTACTTCCTATGTTTTATGTCTAATGAATTAAGCGTTAGTAAAGTGGTTTGACAAAATTTTTCTTTTGTGGAGATCATTAAAATTTTTCTATTTATATATCATTGCTTTTTTGACTATTTTATTTTTTCTCTTTTCTAAACACCTTTCCACATCATTATTTTTCATCAAAAGTATTTCTGCTCTGGCCCTTGAAGCCTGACTTTATTTATTTTGATATAAATCTAGAAGTGAGGTAGCCAGATCACATAGTAAATCTATTTTTAGTTTTTTGATGACTTCCATACTTTTCTTATCTAGAATATATTTCTTATCGGAATATATAAAGAACTCAATAACTTAATAACAGACATATGTAATACAATTTACAAATCAAAAAGTGATCTGAATAGACATTTATCACAAGAAAAAATACAAATGGCCAACAATATGCTAAACAACACTCAGTATCATTAGCTATCAGGCAAATCTAAATTAAAACATTAATGAAATATTGTCTGATTCCAGTTAGACTAGCTGTATCGAAAAGACAAAGAGAAACAGTTGCTTATAAGGATGTAGAGAAAAAGGAAGTTTTATACATTGCTGATGGGAAGTTGTTAGACATCTTTCACTTATGTCTTACAGCTTGCTACATCATTTTTCTTTTTAGCCTTAAATAATATTTGATTGTCTAGATGTGTCAGTGCTTTGAATTAGTTCTCCTGCTGGGCTATATCTTGGCTGCTTCCATCTTTTGACAATTCTGACTAAAGCTGCTATAAACATTTGTATGCAGCCTTTCATGTAGAGGTAGGTTCTTGTTTCCTTTTGTACACAGCAAGGAGCATGATGGTTGGATTGTATGATGAAAGCACATCTAATTTTTCACAGTCTTGCAATCTATCTATCTCATTTGCATGCTCAGTGGAAAAGAATGTGAGTCCTGCTGTACAGGAGTTCTTGTTGCTCTCTATCCTTGCCAGACTTTCTATTTTCAGTGTTCTGAAGTAGACGTGCACTGGTACGTCACTGTTGTTTCAATTTGACTTTTGGTGATGACCTATGAGGTTGAACATTTTCTCATGTTTCTTAGCCATCTGTATTTCCTCTTTATTGAGGTGTTCTTTAAGATCTTAGTTCATTTTAGTTGGAATTTTTAAATTTTTAATTTTAAGTGTTCTCGCAAAAAAAAAAAAAGAGGAAGTGTTCTACATATATTTTGGACAACAATCCTTCTTCAAATATATCCTTTGACAGTATCTTCTCTTAGTCTGTGACTTCTCTTTCTCTTGACACCATCTTTTGAAGAGTATAAATTTTTCATTTTAATAAAATCCAGTTTATGAATTTTTTGATGAATTGTGCCCTCAGTGTTGTACTTAAAGCAGTCATCACTGCACCCAAGGCCATCTCGGGTTTACTTTGTGCAATTTTCTAGATTTATAGTTTGTACTTGAAATTTGTATCTATGATGCATTTGGAGTTAATTTTTCTGAAGACTGCGAGGTATTGGGTTTTTTTTTTTTTTTTTTTTGCATGCTAATGTCCAGTTATTTCAGCATTGTGTCTTTGCTTCTTTGTCAAAGATCACTTGACTATCTTTATGGGTGTTATTTGCAAGCTGTTTATTCTGTTCCATTCATTTATCTAATCTGTATCTCTAATATCATGTTGTTCTTATTATTGTAGATTTATAGCAATTCTTAGAAGGTCTGATAGGCAATTTTCCAAGTTTGCAAGAGGAGGGAGGCAGGGAAACAAGAAAGAATGAGGAAAGGAGGTAAGGGGGAGAGAGAGAGGGAGAGAGAGAGAGAGAGAGACAGACAGACAGACAGACAGACAGCAGACAGAGACTGACAGACAGAGACAGACAGACAGGCAGAGAACAAGCCTCATCCTGCCCATTACATTATATTGTATGCAGGCTACCCACCCTTGGGCAGGTACAGCGCTCACACCCTTAGTCCCAGCATTGGACTATGAACCAATCACGAACTCTACAGATTGAGCCACCTCTGAAAAGTTCACCCCTCCATGGCTGTGGGAGACTCTGCTGGACATCAGTATACAAACCACAACAGTGGTGGTGCTGATAGTATCACTTCCTGCTGGGCAGTGTTCAATTTTTCAGCGCACATCTCATGTATAAATATATTGAAGTTTGGCCAAACTTTGTTTTTCTGTTCATATCCCCACATGACTCCACTTTGAACTGCTGCTTTTCTACCAACCTTGAATTCTGTTTTCTTCTTAACCTTTTCAGGTATCAGTTGCTTTGTAGTACTCATTTGAATTGTGTTTTTTATACATGTGTCAAAGTATATCAGATTGTTAGCTGTTTCCCTTCTTCGATTTGTCATGTTTTTATTCTCAATCTTCTGTATCTCAGCCTTGTTAAATACTATAAGAAAACTAGTTTACCTATGTACTTCAAATGGCATCCGTGGGATGGCCTGAGAGCTGAGCGGACTAAAGCGCCTGCTTAGGCAGAGCGCAGCAGCTGTAGTTTGATCCCTGGTGTGCCATGTTGGCTCCACCCCCGGGACACACTGAGGTGGCGATTGAGACTGGGCGTAATAGTGTGCACCTGTAATCCCAGCACTTGGGAAGCTGAAAACAAGAGAATTACTATGAGTCCGATCTATGTAGTGAAACCCTGAGACCCTGTAGGCCCTGTCCTAAATACAGAAAAAAAGCATCTGTATTTCCTCGTGTGTCTACAGCTTGCTAGCTCATTTCTTGTTAGTACTCATTTAATAATGTTCTCAATAAAGTGCAACATGCACAGAGGGCTTAGTATATAAGTAACTGTATTTATTAATCTTTCTGCCTTTAGATTATCGACACAATGGTCGAGATCTGCAGAGCTCAACATTATCAGTGCCAGAACAAGTAATGGCATCCAACCATTGTTCACCATCAGGGTCTCCTCATCGAGTGGATGTTATAGGAAGGACGAGATCATGGTCACCCAGTGTCCCCCCTCCACAGAGGTAAAGGGGCATATACCTTTTATTTATAGCAAGGTGCTACAGGCATATTTGTCTTAAAGTATAATAAACTTATGCAAAAAATTTATTTAAGAAAAACAAAATGGTATTAAGTAACCTATATAATGAGAAAAAAGATATATGGGTTACTTTGAAATTTTGAATGATTTATATATTTATTTTAAGAATTTAAAATTTTTAAGAAACATTTTTAATAAATCAGATTAAACAGATGTATGTAAGTCCAACTTTTTATAGTAATCAATTATATAAATATTCTTTAGAAAGGCGAATAATCACCAGAAGAATTAACAAGAATGCAAGTGCAGCAGGAGGAATGGCTTAGGAAATGTGTAGCACCAAGGCTTGTATTAGCAGAAGGTTCCAGTTAGTCTAGTTAAGTACAGAAGGGATTAATGGGTAAGGACCATGGGAATAATAGCAAAGGCTAGTAAGAAATATGCACAGTAGATATTTTATAAGTTTATAATATTGAAGAAAACTTGATTCATTAGATTAATAGCCTTATAACTCATTTAATCTCATTACAGGTAGAAAAATAATTTTATTTCAAATTATTCTTCACTTTAGGTAGCAAACTAGGACAAAATAATCATCTATAGTTCACAAAGGCTTTTTGAAGTAAGCATTATGCTTAAAAATTGTCTAGGCATTTACAATGATTACATAATACCCTAAATAATATAGTACACCCACCCCTGAAAGATATATTATGAAACAACAAGAAGAAATAAGAGATGGAAGAATTGGAAGAGATAAAAACCATCATTACTGGCTGGCCAGATAGCTCAGCAGACTAACACCCCTGCTTAGGCAGATGCAGTGGCTGGACTTTGATCCCAGCCTGCGGTGCTGGCCCTGCCCCTGGGGCACACTGAGATGGCAATTGAGACTGGGCGTGGTGGCGCGCACCTGTAATCCCGGTTCTTGGGAGGCTAAAAACAGGAGAATCACCATGAGTCCAATCTACATAGAGACTCTGTAGATGCGGTACCAAATATATAAAAAAATCATTATTTGTTAAAAATAGATTTGTCTACATTAAAAAAATACCATAATCAGAATATTTAGACTAATGTGAGAGTTCTACCAAATAATTGGCCATAAAGCAACTTACAACAATGAGTGTCAACATAATAGGAAATATAATGACATTCTCAAGGTGCAATTCTCTCTCTTTCTCTCTCTCTCTCTTTTTTTTTTTTTTTTTTTTTTTGGCAGAACTGGAGATTGAACTCAGGCCCTTGCGCTTGCCAGACAAGCACTTATTGTACTGAGCTATTTCCCCAGCCCCACAAGGTGCAATTTCAAAGGCAACACAAAGTGGATCTTAATTTATCTAAAAGTTCACGAGACCTTAAAAAAAACCAAAACTTTAGATAAAATAGTATATCTTATTCATGAGTAGAATGACTTTAATTTTGTGTAAGTTAATCTACAATGCCATGTCGATCAGAATTATATGTGCATTTTTTGAAATTTGACATCCCTTTAGAATTTATGTGAAAGGACAAAGATGAACAAATTGTGAGACAGTTACCACCAGCCCCTGCATAGTAATAGTCATACCCATTATAATAGTGCAATATCTATCTATCTATCTATCTATCTATCTATCTATCTATAATTTACAAATATTTTATGTAATTTGAAATATGCTAGTAAAGGTGTTACTACTAATTAATATGACAGTAGGCTGGAAAGGCTAGGAAAACAAACTTGTCTATGAATAAAACTGCTAGATGCTTGCCTTTCTTTGTTCATCTTTGTGATACTGGGTTAATTTGGGCTCTTTTCAAGTTGTATTTCTTTTATCTTAGCAATCTCCTTAATCAACTATACTTTTCCAACTCATTTATACTGTTAGCCAAAACATAAATAAAGAAAAAATTGGGCTTGGCATTACAATGACTTTGCCCACTTTTTTTTATAACTGAACGTCATTTGTTGGTGTAGCTCATACTGTGGCTTACTGTGATAGTGAATGTGTCTGCTGTTTTAGTCGGAATGTGGAGCAGGGACCTCGAGGCACTCGCACGACTACCGGCCATTACAACACAATTAGCCGAATGGATAGACACCGGGTCATGGGTGATCATTATTCTCCAGAGAGAGACAGGTAAATATGATTAAGTACTTTACTCTTTATCAAATTATGTATTGGGGATTGTCATGAAATGCTCCTATCTCCTTTATTTTCGTTTCTAGAATCGTGCTTTTCTTTACCAAGGCCACACGCTTTGTTGTGACTGCTACATTGCTAAAACAGACACACAGACAGAGACAGCGAGAAACAAAAGCATTTTGAATTTGCAGTTTGGTCTTTTGTTAAATGAAATTAAATTTTGCACAAGAGATCATAATGATAATCATTATAAAAGCAAGGTGTTTTATTATTTTCCCATGTCACAACCAATTATTTTATGTAAAACTACTTTCATTATACAATAGATTTTAAAGTCTTTTATGTACATCAGAGAAATCAATGTGACTTTTCATATGTAGAGGTATTGAGACAGAATTTGGTTTGTTTAGGAAACATTTTATTTTGAGATTCATGAAGAGGCTTTTTCTCAAGGCTTTCAGTAAATGCTTTAATCATCTTAGAGAATCATGCTTGTTGATTGCTGTGTTTGAAAGATTTGTCTGAATTTCCTCCATTAAATGTGAAAAACTTAGAGGTAACATGATATGCTATGATGGTTACATTATTACTGATTTTAAAAGTTAATAAAATTGATTAACACTCCAACTCATGCCTTGGTTACGTATGAAAAATGCTGTGTTATTTTTTTCCCCAAACTATCAAGTAAATTTAAGACTAGATGAGGCAAGAGAGGTGAATTTATTATTTAGAGCATATGGTAAACAAGGGAACTCAGATGTTCTTTTGTATGTAGCTTACACTAATTTATGAAGAACATTGGGGCTTTAAAAATCTACTAATATGAAAAATTAGTGTTTGTAGCTATAAATGCATTTATTTTATCTGAGTCTAAATTAATACTCAATTCATGCTTATTGTTTCACTATGCTTTGCTATGCATCTCCACAGGAAAAGGAGTATCTTAGATCTCAGTTGTATCACACAAATACTGGCTCATATGTCTGAGATTTAAGAAGAAATTAAGAAGTTATTAAATTTGTATGAGTATTAGGATCAAGTGAAAATTGATACAGGATTTTAAAAGAAATTCTTGGCCTGTTCATGTGGCCTATTCCTTTAGACCTGGTTACAGACATAGACATACTACCTGTAGAAAGAGATGTTATCCAGCAGTGACACTGAAAGAGAGATTACTGTGTTGACATGCTTAACAGTTGGAAAGAGTCAGATTAGGGCAGGTTAATGGGTGCCTTGATTGCCTAAGAAATTTTGACATGCTTAGTAATTTCTGGAAATTATTTACATGGCAAGTCATAAACTTGTTCACTGAAGATTTATTAATGGGAGGGATAACAGAAAAGGGTGAAATGACTGTTTCCTTCAAATATGTGGAAAATGTACTATTAATGAAAAATAGACCCCATTTTTAAGGTAGACAAGTAAATGGGACCAAAATAGTAGAGAAGAATGGAACAACCCTGGATGCCATTATGTTAAATGCTGGATTTGTCAATACTTTCCAACTAGTGGTCCTGGGCTTAGTGACAACAAAATGGCAGATACTTGCTATTAAAGCCTAGGCAGTGATGGCAAGCCTTTTAGAGCTTTCAGCTATACAAACAGCAAGCCACAGCACACGTTCCATAGGTTTGCTACCACTGCCCCAGGTAACTTGTCCTTGATATGTTATAGTCATATCAGAGGTCACCTATGGTGTGCACTTTTATACCTAGAAGAATTTGTATCTGTAATTGAAATACTATTTTCTGCTTTAGTAGGCATCCTTTAGGTTTGAAAATTTTTTATATGATTTTCTGTAGAAGTTTTATAGAAGATTTATTTGTGTTGTTTCATTACTCTTTTTAGTGTGTTATGGATTGCTAGATCACAATTATTTTAAATGGGATCTGTCGTACATCCTTTTTTGAAACAAGTAAAATAGAAACTTCATTTAAATAGAAGTAAAATAAACATTTTTCTAATTTATTTTTTGGATTATCTATGTAACTATTATTCATTAACCTAAGGAATCAAAAATCAAATACAGTATTATGTACAATAATTTATAGTCTGTCACATTATTAAATAGTCTTTCATTTATGCTTTAGAATAAAATTATAAAAGATTTTTAGTAACAAAATACATTTAAAGGTATTATAGTTTTAATGTAGTACTTAGAACGCAGGAATACTCTAGATTTATTACCTGAATCTTGTTGAGTGACATTTAATAGAGTCAATGAATAATATCATTGCTTAAAAAGCCTAAGAGAGAATTTCTTTGAGATAGTACATTTTAGGTATCGTGAGAGAGGCATTAACTTTTTTTGTTGGTAAGATTTGATGCATTGGTTTAGAATAGTGCTTTTGTTAATGTACTCTTTTTCATAGAATTTGGAACAAATGCATTTGGATTCAATTGTAGAATTTTACATCTTTCTAACGATGTGTCTTAGAGAAAATCAACCTCTTGATGATTGATTTGCTTATAGAATTAGAATACGAATGCCAACCTTATAGAGTGTCTAGGGTAACTGGTATCTCCAATTTAACTTGTACATTTCCTGTCAGACAGTCAATATCAAAATATGCAATACATACCCAGAATGATTTATTCAAAATTTCATGGTATGTACTAAAAAATTGTGCCTACCCTTTACCATTTGAAAATGATCTTTTGGCTCTCAAATAATTTACACTTAATTGCTTAATAACTAAGCAACAACAACAACACAGAAATCAGTCAATTCCAATATTACTTTGAAAAGCTTTGCTGAGAATGTGGGATATGAGCCAGATTTTGAGAAACAGATGTGCTTATTTAGGTGAGAACAAGAGCAAAAGACAGAGGCAGGACCATATACCACGGAGGCACAGGATGGAGAAGGGTTCTTAGCACATGCTAGGAAGGTGTGTATGAAGACTGTGGCTTCTACACTGACTATATGGGTGAGAAATGGTGCTGTTGAACATTAATGTATAGTGCATGGTTAATCATGAGTGGTAGAAAGAGAAAATGAGAGTATGCAGATTCTTTTCTGTAGGTGATGTGAGACAGCTTTAAATATGTAATTGGAAACCGCATATCTTTGTCATTACTACTTATCATCTTATTCTGCTTTTGAAACGTAAATAGATTATTTACAAGGCAAATCCATGATGCATGGATCCATGCAAATCCATTGATAAGTATCAATTAAAATAATAATGTATACAGAGCATCTTTCATCTGCCATGACTTCTGCCTCCTAGTTCTATCAGTTTATCTCTAGTAACTACTACAACCAGGAATAGTTTTACTGGAAGCAGATTAGTACTATGAATCATGTAAAAAAATTTTTTTGTCTATATGAGCTAATTTAATATACATAATATATATATATAGATAGATATATGTATAGATAGATAGATATAGATATATATGGCTTCAGATACCATTGCTGGGCCAGCGACATAGCTCAGTGGACTAAGTGTCTGCTCCGACAAGTGCAGGGACCAGGGTTTGATCTTCGGTACCAAATGCAGGGTCAGACCCACTTCCAGGTGCACTGAGCTGCTCACCAAGACCGGGTGTGGTGGTGCACGCTTGTAATCCCAGTGCTGGGGAGGCTGAAAACAGGAGGGTCACTATGAGTCTGAGCTGCATAGTGAGACCCTGTACCAAATACACAAAATAAATAGATAAATACTATTTCTGTCAAGTATCAAAATTCTGTAGTCTGCGGTATTCATTTTTATGCCTATTGCAGAGGCCAAAATATATTAACTACTTATATCTCCTTTAATTATGTTTTTAGCATTATGAGAAAAGAGTAATAAAGTAATTCATATATATTATATATTGTATATAATACACATTACTATGTATATATCATATATATTAGTACTAGGGATATAGGGCAGTATGGGGAGTACTGGGGATTGAACCACTGAGCTAGCTCCCTAGCCCTTTTCTCATAGGTCATTTTGAGATAGGGTCAGTCACTAATTTGCTCACACTGAGTTTTCATTTGCGTCTGTGGTCTAGGCGCTAAGATGGTAGTTGTGTGTCACCACACCTGGCTAGTAGATTTGTATTCTAAAAAGGAAAACACCTTATTATATTCTGAAAAATACAATGGCTTATTATCTGGTATAGTTTTTATGTTCTGTATCAGGCAGCCAATTATGGGAATATAGCACATAAGTATAAAAAGAAGATTCTCTGTGGTCCTCTCAGTTATTACTGTGAGGGAAGCACATGTCTGAAAGTTTATGAAGAAAGTAAGTGAAGAAACAGAATTCACCTTATATATTTTCATAGATTATATGTTACATTTCAGGAATATATTTCAAGCCAGTTAAATAATACTGACATATTATAGGGACTTCAGAGTAGGCAAATGTTAATGATACAGACACAGCAAAAGGCTTTGCACTAAGTTGTGCTGTGGCAGACAGCTTTCAAAATCTATAGGTTTACTTAGGTATAGGATGTTTTATCTCTTCCTCTCATAGTACTTTTTTGTGTCCAGAAAGGGGAAATTCATACTAATGTAATATAGCAGAAAGATAATTGATTATAATAACAAACAACAAATAACTTTGTGTTATCTCTAGATGCTATTTTAAAAATCAGAATGTGTCTATAAATTGTATTAGTAATCTAGTTCTTTGAATAGTACTTGTATCATGATTCTTAGAATCTGCAACTTCATTTTTTTCTTTTTAAAATTTATTAAATTTAATTTTCTGTTTTTTAAATGAATTGCTACCTTTTTGAAACTTTTTAAAAAATTCTCAGATTGCTCTAACTTCAAATTATAGTAAAACTTTAGTTTAATTCATTAAGCATATTTGATTTGTCATGTGTATTTATTGCTCATAAGTTTTTATGAAGTACTTGGTTAAAATCAGTTTTGGAAGTAAAGGAAAATGTGCCTAATGTGCACCAAGTAGCTGCAGTAAAGGGCTAGACACGTTACAGACCTTATCTGGATTTTGGAAGTTTTATCAGTACAGGGTCGTGAAGCTTGTATGGTGCACATGCATTTTGGTAGTTTTCAGTAGACTCAACAGAGGCCTTGACTGGCCAGGTAGGCCTGAGAACTCACATGGTTCAAGATAGAAAAGAGAAGTCAAGCGAATTCATGTTTGATGAAGGTGATTTTAGCTTACTGTTTCTTTGGCTTTATAAGGACAAAATTACTAATTAAAATATTTCAAGAAAAATATTAGAAACTGGATGATGTTGTAGTTCATATTCTATGACTTTATAAATTTTCATAAGCTTTGAAGTTTATCGTTTGTTCCTACTCTTAAGATGTTTGTAAACACTATTCCTTCTTAAAGCAGTAAATCCCAATATTATAGCTGCTGGCTATTATTTCTATTCTTTTTTTGTTTGATACTGATTTTTGTACTCTACATAAACCTCAGTTCCTTTGTTTACATTTCTGGAATATTTCTATGATTATGTGAACTAGTGCTTTCTTTGGAGAGAGAGTTCATCATAAATATGGTATAAGGGCTGGCATGGTGGTGCATGCCTGTAATTCCAGCACTTGGGAGGCTGAGGCAGGAAGATCACTGTGAGCTCAAGGCCAGAATGGGTTGCACAGTGAATTCAAGTTCAGCCTGGACTACTTAATGAGAGCCTGTATCAAAAAAAGTATACTTTTGTTTTTACTTTTTAGTTCAGTAAAACATATTTTTGAATACATTAGCTATTGTGCCCAGAAATTATAAAAAAGACATCCTTTTGGCCTAGAAATTATCATATATTGGCTAATTACAAATTGTACAAGACTGTGAGACCAAAGCATAATATTGGAACAGAAAGAAAATTACTTGTGTGGCCTTTTGGAAAAATGCTCAGCTAGCAGGTACTAGAAAGATAGTGGGATTTTCATAGAATAGGAACACTAGAATCTACCTCAGAGAGTTGTTTGATAAAGTAAACAAAGTGATGTTTGAAGTAGACAAAGCTTTCAATGGCGCGCTTGACATATAATAAGATGTTATATAAGTACTTTGTTTCCTAGCCAGAGACAGTCATTTCCAGAGCCAAGGGAGGAAAATGTTAGAAAACTGAGTTTTGAAAATCCAGGTCTAATCCCCTGGGTAAGTGTAGCATGCTGGCAAGTGCAGAGGAGGAGACTGGTGAAGGCGTCACAGGTCACGCGTGTAGGAGAGCGCTGAGAGCACGGTAGAGGCAGAGTCTTGTGCAGGCACCTAGAAGCTTCGGGCAGGAGAGGACATGGCGGCGAGACTTGTAGCTGTCTTCTAAGCTGTCCTGTGATGAAGAGGAATTGGAAAGATGCAGTGTCTAGGGAAAGCACCAGGGTTAGCAGAGGTTTTACCTTTCAGCCTGGGTGCAGATGGAAAAGGAAAGACACAAGACAGTAATGGAGGGGCCGGGAAGATGGCTCAGTGGAATAAGCACTTCCCTGGCAAGCGCAAGGGCCTGAGTTCAATCCCCGGTTCCGCAAAAAAAAAAAAAAAAAGAAAGAAAGACAGTAATGGAAAGCAAGGTCGTATGTGAAGCACTTCTTCTTTGGTGCGGGAGACAAGAACAAAGGAAGCTGTCCGTAGAGGGAGGTGGAGCTGCACGGGTCGGAGCTTGAAGCACTTCCTAGTGTACAGGAGCACAAGAGCATCTGCAGTGACTCAGTGTTTTGGCACTAAAGGTTTTAAGAAGCTAGAAGAAGTTAAATTAGTGCCTTGAGATGAAGAGAATCAGCTTCAGATGGGTAAAGGGTTGGGCTGCTTGACTGCTTGTGGCAGTCCTGGGCACGAAGCATGCTGGAGCCAATAGTGTGAAGCAAGTACATGGGAAACAAGTAAGTCAGAAAAGATAATGACTAATACATTTAACAAACACAAGCAGTAATTAAGTGAAAATAATTAAATCAGTTTGTTTTTATTACTAAATAGAATTTTTAAAGCCCCTTGTAGTTATTTTTCATTTTAAATGATTCAGGAGAAATAATTACCTCATGGAATTTCTGAAGTTTAATAGGTATTATTTCTTTTATTATTTCCTTACATTATGGTTATTTTTATTATTTTTCTCTTTTCTCTTTTACTCTTAAAAAATAAAGGGCATCCCTGTAGTGTAACATTTTCTACATGGTGCTGAAGATATTTGAGTGATAATTGATAAAGTTTTTAAATAGGATTTTTGCATACTCAATACATATTTGTTATATTTTACTTTAGAATATTTAGTCCATTATAACCTATGGCACTGCCGCATTAGTTGGCTGGGGGAGGGCAAGCATTCTAGGCAGTTTTCATTTGCTTTGCTTATGATCCGCATATCCTTTTGAATTTCATTTTTACAGCTAAACTATCCCTTTCTTCCCTCTCTCCCGAGGCTCATTTCTGTTCTTGTTTCTGCCACGCTTACAGTCATTTCCCTACTCTACCTCGCTCCAGATACAGTCAGAGCAGTGAGCACCGCCACAGGTATATTTTTCTTACAATTGAATCTGTGTATAGAACTGCATGCTCCTGTCTATTGGTGTGGTAGAGTTCACTTTTGCTTCTGTGTTTTATATGGCCACATGTGGTTGTTAATGAAATATTAAAACATTATGTTTATAACAATTATGAAACAAATATATGTAAACTATTTGTAATAGAATGTAAAAAATACAGCTTCTCTTTGGTGCACTAGAATCATATTTATAAATATTTTAAACATTGTATTCAGTAAGAATTGTGGTGTTCTTTGCTGTCTGCAAGGGCAGAATAACTGTATCATGATCGGATTGCTCACACTCAGCTGCTCGCCTTTGCTGGCAGAGTTCCTAAGCAGCTATTGGTCAGCAGGGCTGACTTGTACACACAGGCTTAGCGAGCTGTTTTTGTAGCTGTGTACTCCAGACTAGAAGAGTTTGCCCTTGTGGTGTTTGGGTTGAACTGAGTCATCTGTAGTCATCTTGTCAATGGTGACTGATCTAGTCCTTCACCATAGCAGAGAAGCATAAATTTATGAAGCATACTGCATCTATACAAAAACCTTTGACATTTGTACCCAGCCACTATCTCTGTTTCCACAGAATTTGGAATTGTGGGAATTTCCAGTGAGTTCTATGTAGTTCAGCTCTATAGTATTTTAAATATAATTTATGTCAGAGGGAAATACCAATTATCTGGCATTTAAGGAGAAAGGAGATGAGTAGAAGTTGAAGGGAAAGAAGTTTAATAACATTTGTGCAATTCTCAAGGCTATAGGTAGTGTTAGAGACTTGAGCCAGTTCACAGGGAACATTTTGAGGCTCTTTAGACAAAGAAAAGTGACCATGATAGTGTGGTAGTGAGAGCGATGAGGCTAGATGAGGAATTACATACTGTGATTAGTTTCTCTGACTATTGTTTTAGAGTGATTTGGGTTTTATATGACTGTCCTTATCCCTATTAATGTAAGTTAATTAAAAGTTGATAATAGCTAAAAATAATAAAAGCTAATGAGTAAATTCCAAGTGTTTGAATTCATGTAGGTAAATATGCAAAGACACATGAGAGATGAGATCAAAATTAGATTCTTAATATTCCAAGTTTTCTGATGTCTTTCAGCAAATGTAGTGGAAATTTATAACCTTGCAATTTAGTTATATAGTATTGGTTATTCGTATGTTTAATTTTCTTTTACATTTTCTCAAAATTTTCTGTTATTTTTCTTTAATTCTCTTTAAAAAATTATATATTTCATATATCATCTTATTATGCAGCTTGGACTCATAGTGTTACTGTTTTCAACCTCCCTAGTGCTGGGATTACAGGTGCACCACCATGCCCAGTCTTGGTGGCCAGCTCGGCGTGCCCTGGGGTGGGAGGGGACAGGGCCGGCACAGCATGTGGTGCTGGGGATCAAATCCTGGTCTCTGTGCTTGCCTAAGCAGGCGCTTAGTCTGCTGAGCTATCCTGCCTGCCCTTTTAATTCTAAATCACTGTTATATTTTTCTGTTTTGTTTTTTATTATTACTGCTTCTGAATAATACATTTTGCCTCATTTTTGGTTATAACAGTCATTTATATTACAAAATCTAAAAAGTAGTTATATATTTGTATCCTGGTAGCAAAGATTTTTCTTAAGGTGGGTGACATGAATGACACATTACTGGTTCTAGGCTTTTTTCATAGTTATTCTGTTACCTCTTCATTCTATGTTAAAATCATGTACCACATTTTTATGCTTTGCATTTTTTTTTTTTTTTTGCACAACCAGGGATTGAACTTTGGCCTTTGTGCTTGCCAAGGAAGTGCTTATTCCACTGAGCCATCTCCCTGGCCCTCTTTGTTTGGTTTTTTTTTTCTTTCTTTCTTTCTTTCTTTCTTTCTTTCTTTCTTTCTTTCTTTCTTTCTTTTTTTGTGGCAGAACCGGGGATTGAACTCAAGCCCTTGCACTTGCCAGGGAAGCACTGTGTTTTTCTTAGTCTCAGTTACCTATAAGTATATCCTTTGCTTCAGGATGACTTTCAGCTCACTCGTATAGATAGATGTGGCTCTTCACCAGCTCTAGGTTGATTATCACCCCCTAGGCTTTCCTAAGCTCTTGGGTTGCCTATTTAGAGGGCACATGTATGAATTGGCTTTCTGTGCCATGACTTTGCTTGTGGTCCTGAAACATAAGATCATTAGTGTTTACATCAAAATACAACACAGGAACATTTGTTTTAAAAAATGTATCTATCTAACTATAAGATTTATATGTATAGATGCATGTCTATTTTATTTGTGTTAAAATATATGCCTTGTTCCAAGATAGTCGAAACTCACAAGGGCTGGAACTAAGTCTAACATACCTACCCATAGATAATTTGGGTAGATTTTATAGAAGTGAGGTTTCTTAATTATAGTATTTTTTTTAAAAAAAATTACCTTTCTCGTAACTTTTTGCTGTCATATTACTTTTTTGTGGCGATGAAGTCTCACTATGTAGGTCTGCCTGACCTTGAGCTCACTATGTAGCCCAGGTTGGCCTCAAGCTCATGGCAGTCCTTTTGCCTCAGCCTCCTAATAGCTGGGATTATAGATGCAAGCCACCACTCCTGGCTCCTGTCATATTGTTTTTATACAAGGAATATTTTGTTTTTGTTTGTTTATTTATTTATTTTGAAATCAAATTGGTAGGACAGTTTCAATAATTAACACACTGCATACATTCTTCCTAGTGGTTAATTGCTGTACAAGATGCGGACTTGTGATCCTATTTACAAACACCATTAGAACAAATCATTCCAATCATTAAGAGAATGTAGCTATATATCTATCCCAACCACTCTGAATACACAGATACAAAATGGACATTCATCTGTATACCCTTTTTTTTTTGTTAAGTTCCGTTATTTGAATATTATAGGTGTGTAAACTCAGCAAAACATTCCAAAAGAGTCCAGCAGCCCACAATAGTATTGGGTCTTCCGCTTAACTGGCAATGTCACAAATTGATGACCTGAGTCCCCCACAGCTCAATATAACAGCATGGCTTCACTTCTTATATTTCGTTTTTATACTTTTCTTCTAGATGGTTAAGACCAAGGTAAAGCAGGATCTATGCAACAAGAGTTATAGCTTTTTGGTCTGATAAAGTCAGTGAAATCCCCTCAGGATTTATGCTGAGATCCTGTACCTCAGATTGTAGAACCTTTGTCAGTGTCAGCCATGTGGATGAGTCACGGCCATTGCTTGGCCAATATGCTCTCTGTGAAAGCCTGA